AAGAAAGAGGAGAAGCTAGCAGTGCGAGTATACATACTACTACAGCAGTGATAACAGCCTAAGTAAAACACAAGCCTAAAATGTCCGCCGCGGGTTTTCTTAGAAGGATTTGCAACAGATTACTCACTGATTGCAAGACGCGGGAATAAAACTACGATCGTCTGTAACGCAAGCGTAACACGAGTCGCCCACTAATACCGCAATGACAACTTAGATGAACGACAAGACGACAGAGCAAAAATCATCCCCGCTGCAGCGCCGAGTAAGGGGAGGAGAGAAGGTGGGCAGTTACAGTGCTGGCAGCACTGTAGTAGGAGAGCACGACGAGATGCACCCTGCTGCGCGGAGAAGAGAGAGAGAGAGGAGGGAGACGAAGAGAGAGAAGAAGGACATGACGAGAACAGAGAGACGAGAGAGTGAGAGAGAGAGGAGGAGAGGGAAGAGAGATGAGCAGAATGAGAGATCGAGAGAAAGGATGAGAGAAGACCGAGCATAAGAGAGACGAGAGAGAGAAGAGAGAGAGAGAGAGAGATGAGGGAGGAGCGAGAGAGCGCGCGTCTGTCTGCTCGCGTGAGAACAAGAGAACGTGCAGACGCACAAAAATCCGAAAAAGAAAAAAACGACGGTTGGAATAACGGCATCCTACGAACGTGCCGCCGTAGTGAATTATTATGTACGCCCGACTACACGGAAACGAGAACGGTACCGGCCAGCACTCAGCAATTTCAAATTTGAATGCGTTTTGGAGCAGGAAATTAGCAAAAAGAGCAAGCAGTCGTCATCCGTCGTTGCGGGTGCGCGCACAGAGACAGCTGGAATGCTAGCTTAATTACGGCAATCACCTATACTAGGAGGAAAATGCTATAGAACGTGCTCACGCACGGCTTAATTAAAATAGTTTTAATTTCATCGTATAATAATGATCAGCGATCATATTTCCACCTGAAGCCAGTTTATAATTAACAATCTAATTTTGAGCACTGGGGTGTCATCTAGAACTAGGTAGATTAAATTTCGCGATAGATAGGGAGAGGTGGAGAGATAGTTTTCCACGCAGAGATAGCATGCAGACAGATCGAGAAGCGTGCATATTGTGATGATTATTTACTCGTGTTATTACTACGCAGCATTAGCGGCGAATACACACGAATTTAATCATTTAAATTGCCTGGAAATTCTCTTAGGCTCTACATATTATTTCGGGTCTTTTGCCTTGACATGATTAGTGTACGTACAAGGATTATGCCGTCTATCAAGATGACAGCTGTGTTTAAGTTATGCCACAGACACTCGTCACAGTCTCGCAGGAAGTGACACACTTAAGTCACGGCTGCATACCTGATAACAATAGGGCGTGCTGCACACGCATGCACGCACGCACGCACACGCACACGTACACACGCACGCACGCACGCACCGCACGCCACCGCACGCACGCACACGCACACGTAAGACACGATGCGCACGCACACAAACACACGTACGCACGCACGCACACAAACACACACGCACGAACACGCACACGCACACTCGCACACACAAACGTACGCGTACACCCACACTCTAAAAATAATTAAGTTAACTTAGACAGTCAGATACAAGGCGACATACTTACGACACAACAAATTCACAAACATGGAACTAATGGCAACTTAAACTTAAGGTCCACGTCAAAAACTAGGTTATCTCATTCGCTCTAAAATATGTTACGTTAAAGTATAGTATTTTTTCTCACGTTCTAACATCTAAACTAGTGTTCTCTCGTTCATCTACAGTGTTCTCCTTCCAACATCTAAATAGTGTTTTCTCACGCTTCAACATCTAAACTAGTGTTTTTCTCACGTTCAACATCTAAACTAGTGTTTTTCTCACGTTCAACATCTAAACTAGTGTTTCTCTCACGTTCAACATCTAAACTAGTGTTTTTCTTCTCCGTGATTCTAGCCAGAAGACGATCGCTACACACTACCTTCTCGATGCGTTCGTGAAGATCGCGGGACTTCTGCAGCATTTCAAACCTCCTTTCCAGGTGGCGCTCGAGAGAGTGTCGCATGCAGCGCAGCTCGGCGCACTTGGGTCGTATGCTGTCGACGGCATAGTGGTCGTTCTGTATGAGATACTCCCCGCCGCTCTCCAACTTCTCCGCCTTCTGCAACGTCTCCTGCGCGACAGACAGACAGACAGAAGAGGACGTCGTTAACAAATACGTTATCAGATGTATAATTGGGAGACTTTGCATCATCGCGAACGCTTCCGCGCGATTTCGGAGCTTTCTTCTTAGCTCCCTTCCTTCTCCGAGCTTCCTTCGGAGGTTTTCTTCTCGCTGGCACACGCGCCCGCTGGACGAGAATAACTGCATTTGCTTCCGTCGAATTTCCGTTCTCGGTCAGTGGTACCCTGGCATCTTTCCCCCCGGTCTCTGAAGGAGGCGTGTGGCAGAGAAATCCCGCATAAAGAACGTACGGAGCAAAGCTCTGTACAGTAGCGGTTTCAGCTACACGCACGAGTCGCTATGATGAGGAAGGGGGATATCATCAGAGAAGGGTCATATCATCGGGAAAGTAGGATATCATCAGGGAAAAATGATTATCCTCGAGGAAGGAGGATATCATTGGGAGAAAGGGGGATATTTTCCGGAAGCTATATAGTAGCAACTTCAGCTACACACACGAGAGACGCTAGTATCTCCAGTAAACCGCCCTCACATCATGCAGGAAGGCGGATATCCTCGGTGGAGGGGGTATTACCGAGGAAAGGGGATATCTTCTGTAAAAGGGGATATCAACGGGGAAAGGGGGATATTCTCGGTGAAGGGGATATTACCGAGAAAAACTGGAAAAGGGGGTATTAACGGGGAAAGGGGGATATTCTCGGTGAAGGAGGCATTAGCCGCATTACCGAGGAAAAGTGGAAAAGGGGGTATCAACGGGGAAAAAGGGTATAGCCTTGGTGACGGTGGTATCACCGTATACGAGGGATATCAACTGACGGGGAACAGCGGCATATTCTCGGGGAATTAGGGGCATATATCCTCAGGAAAGAGAGATATCGTCAGGGAAAAATGATATCATCGGAGAAAGCGGATATCATCAGGGAAATTGTGATATGCTCGGGGTAAAGAGAACACCTTGGGGAACGGCGGATATCCTTGGTGAAAGATGATATCATATAAAATTGGGATATAAATAGGAAAAGGGAACATCAATGGGAAAAAGGATATCTTCAGGGAAGAGTGATATTATCGGGAAAGCGGGATATGATCAGGGAGAAGTAAATATTCTCGAGGAAGGAGGTTATTATTGGGGGGATATATTGGGGAATATGATGGGAAAGAGGGATATTTTAGGGGGGAATAGGGGTCAGGAAATTCGGCAGCGAGGGAATTGCGCGAGAAACCTTCAGAAGACGCGTGTATTGCAACCACCATCGCAAAATTCAACAAGATCAACTGCCCAACGAAGATATAACAATACCTACCACAGCACTAGCTCCAAGAAACGGCCCAGCACTAGAAGACCGTCAGTCACACAGTAGCGTTGGGTTTGTGCATCACTAGCACGTAGCCGCACATACACACACACAAGCACACGCAACCCTGCCGAGTCCCTACCTCGCACGCAACTACCCTCTTTCGCTAATCGCCTGCATATACTAGCTTAGGCACCCGTCGCCTACACACACACACACGGCTATGCTTGGCGAGCAGCTAATTTTACCAGCGGTTCAAGCGCCTACAAGCTATGAATTCCGCGCATGTCCCGCCGTTCTAGTTTTCATAACTTCGCGTGCAGCGGCGGCCGCACTCGGCGCGAACCGGACACCGTGTTGTCACAACATCGCTGTTATTGTTTACACCGCCCACCTCCGCCCGCCGCTCCGGATGCTGGAATTTGGGAGAGGGTAGCAGGAGGGAACAGTGCACCCGCACGAAGTGACCAGCCAGCGTGATGTCTCGTAGAGACAGGCGGTGATGTTATTAGAGTGCTCAGTATGTAAGCACGCCGGGGTGGCGAGGACGCGCGCGCGCGGGGACGTCCCCCACTACTGTGTTGACTCGCGCCGTATCTGTTGCATGATCTGTCGAACATTAACCTATGCTCAACAGCGATCCAATTATCCGCTGGATTCTTATTATACCGATGAAATGAGCATTAACGTACTGAATTGCTCGGAGCTAGACGCAGTGGAATTTGCATACACTAGGATAATGCAGTCATGCATGTAGCTGAGAAGAGACCAATGACCTAATCGCCCCCTAAAGACATTTATCGGATCACATCACTACAGCTGTCCGGGTTTGCAGCTCGGTAGATGCTATGCGTTAAGAATGCACATTCAAACAACGATGCCGCGAAGGAAGAGGATGGAAAAATGCATGCATAATTTTAAAAAAAGGCGAAGAAGAATACCGCGAATGGTGAAACAGTCTAACATAAAGGTGAAAAGGGTGAAAAGTGGTGTAGAAATACACGTATTACTAGTTCTTGATATAATCTCTTTCATGGACGCTAAACTAAAAAGTACGCGGGCAATTACACGAGGTGAATAAAATAAAGAGAACATTAACCCGATGAGAGTATAACCGATCGAACTCGAAATCAGCTTCAAAGTTTGCCCGCGCACGAGTTTCACCACAGGAAACCTATAGCCTGGCGAGCAGCTAGCGGCCATCATTCATAATTAAAATAAACCCGCGTATGTAAACACAATTACTCTGAAAGCTCAGCACACACGAAACAAGCTCTCGCGTGTACTAGTGCCAGCCGTTCCCTTTACAGCCGAGGGAAAGTACGACAGCCATCATCAATATTGAACATATACATGCGTGATGGTTCTATAGTGCAGGCAGCAAGTAATGTTGTCGTTGCTCGTAAACCGCCTGCTACCGTAGTCTCTCCCACTCGCTAATGAACATATCAGTATCTGTTCTAATTTCCTTCGTATAACCTGCTATAATTTTAGCTTAATCGCTGATCGTCTTTTATCGCTGAGCTTTGATTTTACTTGTATGGAGTCTCAGGTTTTCGTTCTTGTACATTCGTTCTGATGTCTATTTGAAACATTAAACAAGAAAAAAATCATAGTGAAAATAAGAAGAATAAGAAGAACAAGCATAAGAATACGAAGAAAGTGAGAAAATAAGAGAAAGATCATGTAAAAACTCATGTATTCTGTCACGTATTTCAGAAAATCAGTCGAAGAATGTCACGAAGAGATGCACCTTAAATAGTCAGAGACATTGCATTTTGATGGTGGATTTCCATAGGTGTCACACCTACATACCAAAAGATGATTCAGAATTTTAGCAATGAAATAATAACCTTACATTTCAACTTTGAAACATCATAAAAAAATCACAATTCTGCGCTTGCAATTTTCCATTGCACATTTCAACCTTAACCTGGGGGAATAGCCCCTGTTACGCACGAATCACTAGTTCGTTAGAATGTTTTCGTTCGGTATATCCTACGATCGAACATGCTTCGGGGCAGACATCCAGGTACTTCGCAACGTTTGCTTCGGAAATTAACCCTTAACTAGATTTTCGTGACCATTTAAAATCAGTGGACAAAACATCGCCTCGCGTCTCGTCTCTGCTTGCATCGATCCAGCTCAGCCGAGGGCGACGCTTCGTTTTCCAAATGCTTGCCAATTGCGTTAATGCCCCCAGCGCCTCAAATATAATCTGCCAGGCATCCTTCAAATAAGGTGCAGCCCTCCCCCCACTCACACAGCCGATGGGAATCATGCCTCGCTAATCCCGACGTTCGCAAAAACCTGAACGAGCTAAACGCTGCAAAGACATGCGGAATTCACAAACATCGATAGTTTGCAGCAACACTAGAGCAGATAGCCCGCAGGAATATCACAGAACACGAGCAGAGACTTCAAACCAGTTTACCAGTATCGGCACCCTTACTCTCCCTATGTAACCACTCACTCTACTAAATGCCTCCCTTACTAGTTACGCACCTTAACTCTACCTATGTAACCACTCGCTCTACCACAAGCCTCCCTTACCAGTATATCGGCACTCTAACTCTACCTATGTAACCACTCACTCTATCACAAGCCTCCCTTACTAGTATCGGCACCTTAACTCTACCTATATGTAACCACTCACTCTACCAAATGCCTCCCTTACTAGTATCGGCACTCTAACTCCACCTATGTAGCCACTCACTCTACAAGCCTCCCTTACCAGTATATCGGCGCCCTAACTCTACTTATGTAGGCACTCGCTCTACAAGCCTCCCTTACCAGTATATCGGCACTCTAACTCTACCTATATGTAACCACTCGCTCTATCACAAGCCTCACGAGCAGAGCAAAGGTTATACATAGGTGGAGCTAGAGTGCCCTGAGAAATCAACAGATGCTATGAGATGCAGTTATTTCTGGTTACTGTCGAACTTCAGCAGGTGTTGCGGTGATGCGGACAAGATGGCTTCGCATCTGCTCGACTTTTCAAAACGCCATTGATGAATTTTTTCACGAAAGGGTTTTAAGTGAATTACCACGGCATGCCCGGGTCGACCTTCAAGTGAAGCTTGAGCTTCCAGAATAACCAAACACCGGAAGTCGTCTTGGACGGCGAAAATTTACTCCCTTTTTCCCCGCGCTATACATATCAACGACCCATATTCACAACTCCACTTCATTGACTCTTCAACCCATGTTCACAACTCCACTGTCATAATTATTGCTTTTGAACGCCTGTTATATCACAGACGTAATGTTCAGACGATGCCGCAAAATGGCAGGAAGGCAGTCAATGACTATAAGAGAAGGATCAAGAGCTAATAATACCTCTTTATTGTTATAATTTAATATTACCTCTGTATTATTAGCTCTTGATAGGATGAAACTCTGCCGATGGAATGCATGCCCCGAATATATGTGTGAGTGACAGCGTTCACTAACAGGGCGTGTTCCATGAGAATGGTCGTAATTTTCACCACTCGCTGAACCACCCCGCGCTCCAACGTCAACACTGCCTACGTCAACACTGTCTAATATCTTGCCGCTTCTTTTGACATCCTGACGCCCTGAAAGATGCAGGTTTCTAACACCCGAAATCTCCGTGCGACTGTGCAGCCGCTGTCCAAAATTGTGGTTGACATGTAACAGATGGCATAGATTGATCCATTCTCACTGAATAGAAGTTAACTCGCTGCCCGATTTCATCACATAGTTAAACACAATAAATCGATTTTGTGGTGTAAAGGCACCGAACCCGCCTTAGCATAATAGGGAAGAGTATGAAGGGACGGACGCCTGTCTCTGCATATAAGAGCCTGATACTCTAGTACTCTTATAAAAAAGAAGAAGACGAAGAAGAAGAAAAAGAGAAAGAAGAAGACGAAGAAGAAGAAAAAGAGAAAGAAGACTACGATGAAGAAAAATCCGACAATGACGACTATGACGACGACGACGACTACAACGCATGTCTCTTATTTTGCGAATATAAAGAAGACGAAGAAGAAGAAGAAGACAAATATATCGTAGAAGCAGAAGCAGAAGAAGAAGACGAAGAAGAAGAAAAAGAGAAATATGTAGTAGAAGCAGAAGAAGAAGAAAAAGACGAAGAAAAAGACGAAAATAAAAAATCTGTAGAAGAAACAGAAGAAAAAGAAAAAGATATGTAGTAGAAGCAGCAGAAAGCACCGCAAGTATCGCACACAACCAGCCTAGAAAGGTTCGCAAAAAACGAACTGAATGTTAGAACACCCCGGCGGCTTGCACGCAAAGCACACGCACGTCGCCTGACAGACGCAGACGCGCTCACGCCACTAAAAATCCGATTCCGTCTCGTACGGAGCAAATCCGCGCGAATCGCCGCTAACGTGATCACCGTATTTGTTCTCGCATTGGCTCGCTTCCATTCATATATGCCAATTACAGATTATGATGCACACCATCAATACTGACTACATAGCAGAAACGCGATCGCTTTACAGCCAATTAGACACGCGACAGCCCGACGTCTGCGGACTGAGAGAGAGAGAGACGATCGACTGCGCGTGCTTGTTCGTCCGCGCCTTCATTCGATAACAACAGCCGGCAGCGCAATACTTTTCGTCGACGAGTCCTATTTTGCTCACTGTTTGTTTGTATTCCGTGGGGCATGCAACCACTCGCTCGAGTAGCTGGGTATAGCGAGGAGTGGGGTGCGCGCGCGAAATGCGATATATCGCGGGAATGCGGGACCTCAGCTATATAGTATGTGCGGCGAGCTAGATGCGCTGTATTCGCTATGAGGCCAGACCGTGGTGACGCTGAAGCTACTGTAAGCGAGTGGACTGAAACTAGCAGCGGGTCTGCTAATTGACAATGCGGCAATACGCAAATTTACTCATCTGGGTATTAGCCGGGGATTCATGGTCGGAAAGAATGACGATGTAGCGATGATATATATATATATATATATATATATATATATTTATGCGTGTGTACGCGTGCGTCTGTGCGTGCATGCGCGTGTTTGTGTATACGAAACTCATGCATGCACTCAACGCAAAACTTAATGAACGATCTACACAAGATAACGCAGTATATGTATAGACGTTAGTCTGGATTTGGATGAACTTATGGAAGTGTTAGTCTCGTAGTCTGGTCGGGACAGGAGGCACAAAATATGCGGAGTACCTTAACGTTGGCTTCTAGCTTCTTGAGGTCAGTCAGCAGCTCGTCGCAGCACATGACCGATACGCCCGTGTCCGTCATAGTGGTCAGTCCCGCCTCGGCCTTCACCAACTGTCCAGAGAGCTGCACGGAAAGAAAAACAAACGCCGGTGTCACTATACTACACGCATCGCCCGCCACACGTTTGCCTTTACATCCTAGTATATGGAATTACACGCGTACATACCTACACATATATGGAATTCCAAGTATAGAATTCCATATATGGCATTAAATATATTACTACATATATGGAACAACATATACCTACGTATAGCGATGAGTAACCACGCGTTTAACTGCATTTAACTTACGTGTAAATTCAACGCAAATCTACGGTTACTTTTACTTGTAACTACGAGGTGTGACTACATATGTGGCCATAACTGAATGTAGAATTACGTACGCCTACACGCGTAACTACGTGCAACTGCTTAACTACGTGTATACAACTACGTGCAACTAGCTAGCCGAATCTATATTCATCTACTGGGAACTACGTACACGTGCCTCATCACCGTTACCATCGCAAAGACAGTTTAACGAATTAATTAATAAACTAAGAAAATCGTGTAGGCAAGAAGATGGGAAAGATATGGCGGCTTTTAACCGTAGCAGACAAACAGTGTGTGCGCGCGTACGCGGTCTCCTGTTATCCAAACCAGTTGCTCCACTTGAACTACATAGCTCAGAAGTGGCACCCTACACCAACTAACGCGAAAGACGGCAATCGGTCGTCGGAGAAAAAAATGCGAAAAAATGCTGCCGCGGGGGGTCCATGCTTACGACAGACAATCGTATGACCGTACTGGCGGGGTTAGGATTGTTATATAAGCTGTTGTATGGAGTAGTAGTAGTATTGTATGCGGGTCATACCTGGTGTCGTGCATGCTGCTGCAGCTTGTGTCCGTGCAGATAGAATACAGAATTTACTGTTATCAACATCTGACTTGAATATACGCAATTACGCAGAGATTTAAAAAAAACAACGATCGATTCTTGTGAAAAAAGTTCAATAAGATTGAATCGGCACGTTTGGTAAGATTTTCGTATTAAAAATTCATTTGCGATAGATATTCACAGATCTGGTTTCTAGTTTATAATATTAAAGAATGGATATGGCAAATAAATTATTGAGTTGTAATATGCCTACATAATATACATGTTTTCATATGTTTCGTGACATCAATTTGAAATTTTGGAGTAATAAAAATTAATCGGCGAAACAGCCAAGCTTCTAAAATACCATTTTCATTGAGGATGAATTTTCTAAGGGACAAATTACAACTGACTTACTATATTTAATATCTTATTATAAAACCGCATTAGGGTTGAACTAATACACCGAACACTTCAAATCTGCTAGTAATTATGACACAGTTGTGTCTTTTGCTACATGCCTCAATTCTCATTACACTATATGTATATACAGCATGTTGTACAGCATTGCCCAATATGACACAACCCTATACGCGTTAGTATCAACCAAAATTATAGAAAATCTTTATAAGTATACTCCCATCTCATGCACATTATTGCACCATGTCTTCCTCTCGCAAGATTTCATCAAAGTGTAATGTAACTGTTCATCAGAAGGGTACTTTAAGACCATGCATGCATGCATAAGATAGCAAAATTGACCCTTTACATCAAAGACACTGTCATGCGAAAAATGTGTACATGAACTAAGATAATGAGGCACGTCGAATAAGAGTATACACACACACACACACACACACACACACACACACACGCACGCACGCACGCACGCACGCACGCACGCACGCACGCACGCACACGCACACACACATATATAGTGGATTTCTCTGCTTTGCCTCTGGTACTGGCCACTCATCATTTACCCTCCTACTATGACAGACTGTGTTAACCATGAATGCATATAAATGAAACTGATCAGGAACTTTGGCTGCCACATACGGCTCTTATAAAACGGAGCACACGCACGCGCGCGCACGAATGCATGGACGCATGGACGCACGCTCGCACGCACGCTCGTACGCACGCACGCACGTATGTACGTATACATGCAATCTACGTACTTTTGTTGTAAGATCTTACAGCCAGCGTACTGACAGTTATATCCAACTTGAATAACATCAGCATACATCTAAAACCTGTTACCATATTCTCTTCTGCCCTCCCAACCCTGAGATCCGTAAAGCAAAGTCGACGAAGATAATGAAAATGCGCACCTTTCAAACCCATTCCGCGCAATATGTAACGTTTGCGATATTAATATTAATTTTGCCATGAAGGTATTACGAGCTTAACAAGTTCAAACATGACATGTGCTGTAGTAAAAGTGACTTAGTTTACACAGTTTTCCCGAACAAACAAAACGCAGGGCCCACACGAATAATCTGTCAAAATGTCTGGCACGAGTTCAATCAAATGAAAGTTCTCTTCATCATAATAATACAAATGCCACGGATGTCATTAAAACATGTAAATTTTGATTAATCTTTTCATACATTCATCCGTGTAACCGATGACAGGCTCAAGGTTTAGCGATTGCAGCGCGACCGCTATCAGCGAAACATAAATCATTCGTTGAATTCTAAATTATTTACCCACTTTCCGTTCATCATCTCTATTCTCTGGCGCTGCAATATATTCACGATGAACAAGCTGGGCGAAATAGAAACGTTCTGCACGATTTCCTGCGCGGTGACTCGATCGGCGATTCCACACAATAATGCAGTAACCAGCTCCAACCGCACACACGCATGTTTTTATTATTTGTGGGCGCCCTAGACTTCACCTCATCACACATTAACCTGAGTGCTTCTGCACATTTATCGATTATATAACTGTTTTACATTCAGCTCGACCTGCGGTTTCCGTGTTTCGTGCTCTACCGCGTAACGATACGCTTAAGTGCTGTACTTTGTGCAGATTTGTACTACAACAACAGTCATCCTAAGTGCTGTATTTTGTATATATTTGTACTACAATAGCAGGCACCCTAAGTGCTGTATTTTGTACATATTTGTACAAACAACAACAGGCACCCCCGGTGTTTGTGTACGCATGACACCAAGGTTTCTACATAGCTTACGCATATACTAGGGGCCTACATCAAGTTCCCTCCATAGCGTTTACACACCACACTAGGATCCCGTCCATACCATGTACACACCACGCCAATGCTTCTTACATACCATAATGACGTCTCTGCTGGAAAGTTTGCAATGAATAGCAGGGACAGATTCCTCGGAAGACATTATTCACCATACTGAAGGGCCCAATAACCCCTGACATAATATCAGGAGTCTATCAATATTGATAGACTCCTGATAATATTATATTAGATAATATTAGAGATAATGAAGATAATAGAATATTAAAGATAAAAAATATTTGAGATAATAGAGATAATATTACGACCCACAATGAAGGTCGTAATATTATCTCTAATGCCATTGCCATGTAGCAGTAATTACTACACCCAAAGTTCTTCCCATTTAGCAGTATTTAACACACTAAAGTCTTGAATGTGGCACTATTTACCTCACTAAGTATCCATGCGGTCGAGCAGTATTTAATGAACCTACTGCACCTACAAAGGGGCCAGAATATTTACCCCACGGGCCCTCAATCCTCGTAGGTTAAACGTAATATGTTGTGACACATGACTGTGAGTCACACATCAGGCCTCCCCCATTGCACGTAGGCCCTGCTCTTTGGTGCACGTCAGCCCTTCCCACTGTTATAGGTCCCCGCTTTTTGTAAGCCAGCTTCTCCCCTTGTTATAGGTCCACTCCTCTCTGTTTTGTAAGTCTGCCCCTAACTCTGTTGTAAGTCAACCCCTCTCTGTGTTGTAAGTCAGCCCCTAACTCTGTTGTAAGTCAACCCCTCTCTGTGTTGTAAGTCAGCCCCTCTGTGTTGTAAGTTAGCCCTTGACTCTGTTGTAAGTCTGCCACTGCCTGCTGTTGTAAGTCTGCCCCCTCTGTTGTAAGTCCACCCCTCCCTCTGTTATAAGCCAGCACCTATACCTCTGTTATGTCTGTCCCTCCCTCTATTGTACTCTGTTTCTCTCCTTCTTAAATGCCAGCCTTTCCCCTTCTTGTAAGCCCCCCTCTCCCTATAGTATGTCAGCCCATCCCCCATTGTACTTTGGTACTCTCCCTATACTGAGACAGTTCCTCTTACGTTTTACATTGCCCCCCCCCCACCCCTACTGTAAGACGGCCCCTCCCCTGGTGTAAATCTACTCTCCCCTATCGTAAGTCCCACCCCTCCCCCATCCTCATTGTGTGTTGACGCCTACCACGTTAGCCCCTCCATCTCGTGCTGTATACGTACCACTCGGAACTCCTGCTCAAACTTCCTCAGCTGCAGGCACTGTTGCAGCTTCAGCTCGTGCTTCTGCCAGAAGCTGTCAAACACCCTCTCTGTCTCCTCCAGCTGCACCAGCAACCTGCCAGGAACACGGGGAAGGCGTTAGCGACGCTAGAGCGACTATAGACGTCCAGTACACTCTACGACGTCGCATACATCAACGCCATAGCGTGCACGAGGTTTCGCAATCGCGATCGCATTCTCTTACTGGAAAAACTTGTCATTTGTTGCCATTCTAAAACAAACGTTCATTATAGATTGCTTCAATTATAGCAGGGAAGTGACTCGCGAATTTTGTTAAATCTCATTTTCCTGATTTTAGTCATGAATTTTTCATGAATGTTGATTTGCAATTCATAATGCAGATTTTTGTGTGTGGAATTAATACACAGGTTCGGTTAAAGTATCACTGCATCGCACAGTTCTCATGATACATCACGCCATTTACATGCGGCTGAGCACACAGCACAGTAATCTAAGGAGCACTGATGAATCACGTAATGTCATTCCAGAAGCAATGAAAGCTCGCTCGCCTAGCGATCAGATAAGATACACAGGCAGCAGAGAAGATGAAGATGAGTGCAGTGCTATCAGTTACCTATCCAGAGCAGCTATGTTAGTCAACTTGTCTGGGTACGAGCCGCGTCCGTCTCCCTGCGACAAAGGCCGCCGTAGACACTTCAACAAGGTTTCCCCGTGTCTCATAGCACTCGTCAGGTCGTCCTTAATGTCATCCCGTTGGTTACCCTGTGCCAGCAGCAACGCCTGAAAAGCACACAGCCACGCAGCGCGTTCGATTCGTCATTTGATTCGTCACAGCCACGTTGTATTGTCTGACGAGTCGGCTGTGGTACTAATTAACACCGTGTTAGAGATAATAGGTCCGAATAATTAGAACAACATATCTCATTGTTACGCAACCACTCACAGCATCTGTGTAATTAGTCATCAAAGCCATTCTGAACAGATTGGAGATGAGATTAGGTGAGGTGAATTTCTCCCGGAAACAGACGTAGACCTTCTGCAGCTATAGTGATTGAACGTGTTGGTAATCTAAGTATGAAACGCGAGGGAATACTGAGGGAGTCCGATGATCTTTAATAATTCATGGTCGAAATTATATGACCTTCTGCACGATGAGCAATTGCCTACACATTTTGAAGCTCTCTTCAGGAGACTAGTGACTCCGCCGAGTTGGTGTAAACTGAAGCTAGCCGACGTAAAACTGCAGGTTCAAGAAATCTCACGACGCGAAGGATCGCGCTCGATTTTTATTACTCTCATTTGATTATCAGAGTCATCGTACGTTAATTTTTAAACAGTACACGCATGGTAAAATATAGAATGAATCTAATAACTTCCGATTTGCTCCCTGACAATTTGCTATAATGGTTTCCCGAATGCAAAGTTTTAGGAGGGTTATCGAATCACCACAAAATGTTGATTGGAAACACTTATTAACTTGTTATGGGTTCTTAAACATCACCTACACTATGTTGCAACTTTGGGCGAACATGCGACGTATATATATGATATATATGCCATGCTACGCCATCATCACAACCATGCTATATCACACCATTGGTGTCACGTATGCCGTCCATTCCACATTAATTTAGCGAATCTATTTCTTGTAGTTTGCCGGAATATTTATCAGTCTACTATACTGGCAGTAGATAGCATGCATCTGTATATGTTACAGACGCATACATGTTCTTCTGTGGATGTTATTCTATCCCAGCCAGAGCAGGACTAGCTAGTGTAGACCCTCCCCAGGGAAGTACCACAGCTGCAAGAAGTGCCCCGGACAGAGACAGGCTACCACAGGGAGGCGACCTCTAAACCCACACTCATTAGAGCTTCCTTTCTTTTCGCTTTTCGAGACCTCAAAAGAGCCGTTGTTGCTGCATACAGACGTGAATGCTGCCGAGACAGCAGAGCGCCTCCCTTTCCAAGATGGCCGCAAATTTAGACGCACCCAAACTAAAATAAAAGAATAAAAAATAATAAAAAATAAAAGAAGGTCGCCGACCGACAGCGGCTATAGTTTATACCTCTGTCGACTCGACATCGTTCGGAAGTTCCGTCTCCGTCAGCTTGTTCGCGAGCTCTCGCAGCGAGTGAGAGATGATCTGCGTGTTCGCCGAAAACTTCTCAATTGCCTGGAAAACGCAAATAAAACCCGCAGGTCGCGGTCAGTTATAGAAAGCTATAGAGAGCGATGGAGAATCTCCGCGCAATCATTACCGCACGCGCGCCGAGGCGATGGCCGTGGAATCATTACTGCACGACTGGGATCATTACAGGTAAACAGACCTGTTGTCACCACACACCGATGATTGACATTCGCACGCTCAGCGCAGGTGTGACCAAGAACGATCGTCTATTTGCGATCGAAAGGTATGCGTGCCAAAATATCGATGTGATTCGGGATATATAGACATCCAATCTGGGCATATGTAGGACAATTTTTGTGATGGCAGTGTGTGATTTTCAGCATTGCTGCAGCATATAGTGCTTCTATAGAAATCTATACTGGGACACTATAATATATATACACACACACACACATACGCATATATATATATATATATATATATATATATATATATATATATATTATATACATGCAAATATCTATATGTATATAATTATATATTGTTATTAATTGTTAGTTTTTAATTATTGTTAATAATGAAAGTTGCACTTTATCATGGAAACACGTACAGATCGGTGCTCTATCCAAACATTGTGGTTGTAAATGATGTAACCTCCCAAGTCTTCGGTTAGCTGATCTCGGTCCACATAGTCCTGCAGTTCCTCAATGCTAGTGCACATAATCACCTGCACGTGTTTAGAACAAGTCTGGTATGAGTAAGTATGCAATCAAGAGCTATACCTCTACCTACGTGGTATATACAGAGCTATAGAGCAACCTCGTAAGTACTATTAGCTAGTGTTCTACTAGAGAACTACAACCCTATTCACCCGTCAGGCAGTTTCGTCCATGGAACTGTTTCGTCCGTGAAGCATTATTACGAACTACAAAATAGTATATAGTAGTTCTATAGACACTTTTACGCTATGTTTTAACAAACAGTCAACCAATTTTGAGTTTTCTTTGAGTGCCTAAACCGGCCTACCGAACACTCATTTGGTTTCTGAAGTCAGATTTCATTTTCACATTTCATCTGTCTTCTGTAAACTGTGTGTATAAAGGTCAGTCAGCTATGTCTATCGAAATTGCATCGCTTTTTAAATTCAGATGAATTTGCCTAAAACCTCTCGCGTTTTCTAGAAATGAACGGGTAGGCCTACAGACGTTTCCTTTCAGCCCATGAGCAAACAGTCGAGATCTTGCACGATAGAGTACAGTTGCTGCATGCATGTGCACTTTCTTAGAACGCGTACAACCACAGATTTGAATTTGATCTATTCAGAAACTCGGTTTTTCTGTCCGCGTGCGCATTTTTATTGGAGAGAAATTGCTCAGTCCTAAATAGATTAAATATTCTATGGTGCCACAATAAAAATACGTTATAGCGATACATTCAATCTTTTCGTGAGCCAATCTCAGTCTCTGGGGAGCTGGCATTTTCGTTGGCACACGTTGCACTGTAGCCACTGACTGCAAGCGTGGCGCCATTTCACTGTATAGCACGATAAAGTTGTTTGCCTGCCAATTTACGTTTCTTTGAACAAAGATTCAATAATGGCATGCAGGGGCGTGTTCCAGGGGGTCCGCCCCCCCCCCCTGCTCGCGCAGAAAACGCATCTGAGGCAACGGTCACGGACTGAACGCAAGCGGTCTAATTTCAAAATATTTCTGGGGGAGTCCCCCCCCCCTTCGCGTGCTCGCAACTTTGGGTTACGGTTAGACCCCCCCCCCCGCAGGGGCGGATTCAGACCGTATTTGCCGTATTGGGAAATACGGTCTAGACTTCAAAGTGCCCTTCGAAATTTTGCGCTAAAAAATACAGTTCTAAAACAATTTGATGGAATTTGCCTATATTCTTTATTTGTTTTCTTTTTCTTCTGATTCATTGACAGGACGAAAATCAAGAAGGAAATCAAAATTTTACATGGTAACAAAACTAGCTTTGATATCTGAAAAAGAAGGGAAGTGCTTGAATCATTCTGCATTAATTGCTGGTATGCAAAGCGCAGGCAAAATGAAGCAGAAATAAAATTCCATATGGTTTTTAGCTATTGCTGCTTGACTAAATGTGTGCTCAAACGGTGCTCATTTTTGTGCCCAGGGACCCTTGAAATTTTGAAATTTCCTGGGGGAGGCTCCCCAGACCCCCCGCCATGTGCTTCCGCGCCTAACGGCGCCCACTGTGGGGTGGTGTGCCCTTTTTGAGGGATGTGCCCTTAAAATCTGGAAAAATACTGTCTAGCTTCAGCCCTGGATCCGCCCCTGCCCTGGTACAAATCCTGTACACGCCCCTGGCATGTGCCAGCAGTCTTCTGCCGGGTGATCAAACAGACCTGCCCTCCCTATAATTACGCCCCGCTGTTGTTCTAAATAGCGCAACGATGTCTATCAGCCTGCAGAAAACCACGTCTTTCCATCGCTCGGTGAAGGTTACCAGCTATTTGAGCACGCGATCGTTATCATTAAACTTCCATGCGCTCAGCCGCCTAATGTTCTGCAAATGACCAAAAAATTGCGCAGAGCCCGCGTACTCAATTTCACCAGAAGTTTGTTTGTTTTTTCGCTCGCCGTGGCCGGCCCTCGAACAGTAAGCGAAATGGTGCGTGGAGATTCTGTCGTGAAAACGCCTCAAATTCGTCAGTCTAGCACGAACGTACATTTTTATAGCACCATGCTCACAGCCTGGTTTCACACTGAAGCTTCTTGATGCATATATCGAACGGCACCGGAGTGTAAATATTTTCACACGGCATCAATCCAGCGATTTTCTCTCGCACAATTTCCCCCCACTTTTCGCAGCCGGCGGCTCTGGCAAAACCAGAATGTCATTCACGTGGTCGGCTTTGGTTGTTGCAAACAATCGGAATTTGTAGCGTGTGGCGCGATTACACGTATTAAGGTGATTTGGTAGTAAGGTGATTAAGTACTAACGCGAGGTTTGATGCAAGGTGTGTCGGTAATTTGTTTTCTCCACAACTGCTCTATACTGTGAGTGCAAAAAGTCTCCGAATTAGAAACCAATTATTTGAAATATTGATTTTCAGCTGGCACTTAATTGCCATGAAAGTATTTATACAAAGGCACGCTTGAATGCGCGTACGCACACACGCACAACTTGCACGCACACACGCGTACACAGAAAACACGGACATAACCCGGCATTATATTTACGTATACTACATTTCATTAGCATAAATATACTACTAACCGCAATGGCACCCAGCTATAACCGCGTATACTAACCCGGAATTTGTACTCGTCCTTCACAAACTTGTATCCCACTTCCGAGATGGCCTTCTGGAAGAATCCTGCAGGCCGGACGACAAACACGAGCTGGATGAGTCCCGGAAAAAACATCTGCATAGACAGACAAAAGCAACAGTCAGAGGGACAGTCTACGCCAGCACTCGTACACTCGACACAGGCTCCAGCGCGGTCTTAGTCTGGTCCCCTGCTCGTTCGTTCGCACAAACACACGCAACTGCCAAGCATTACCGTGTTTTTGAAATGTTAGAAAATGGCATTCTTTAGAGGAGACTGCGCGTAAAGGCCCCCGCACAAGGTGAGATTCGTGCCGAGCACGGAGCGTGAGTTTCGTGCTCAGCAGGAATCTCACACCACCGCACAAGGTGAGATTCGTGCCGAGCACGGAGCGTGAGTTTCGTGCTCAGCAGGAATCTCACACCACCGCACACGGTGAGTTTTCAGCCTCGCGGGACCAAAATTATCAAACACGACAGATATTTGCCTCGCCGCCTCGCGAGACCGAAAACTCACATAAATCGACCCCACACACGATGAGATTCGTGCTGAGCACGTGCTGAATCTTACGTTCTGTGCTCAGCACGAATCTTACCGTGTGCGGGGACCTTAACGACAGCGTATGCATGGTTGATGCTCGGAGCTGGACAGCAATGGCGGTTGGCGATCGCGTAAAATGTACGTCCATTATCAAGCTAGCACTTTATATGGCCTATACAGCTGCTCGTTACGACTGCGTGGTAAACTCGGGATAATTGGACGAGCGAATTTACTGCAGCGACACTGTGGTTAGCGCTCAGAGCCGAATACCTAAGAGGTTGCGGATGTGTGTCCACGTCGTGCGTCTGAAAGTTACGACCCATTATCAAGCTTGTACTTTATATCACCTATCTGGCACTATAGGGCTCCAGGGAAAGCCTGGGGATAATTATCCTGCACTCAATCTCTGCCTGCTAGTACACTGGTGAAATTCAGATAACATTCACTTCTATGAGGCGATGGGTCAAGAAAGGCTTAACTTTTATTCCTCAACTAAACTCTCGGTTGTAAAAAAAATGCAAAGCTGCAGAGGAGGGATTAGGCAAATTCGGAAAGGCTATTCAGCCAAAAGCATTGTCTGCATAAAAGCAGTGGGGTACATCGATTGGTAGACGATTCAGCAGCCATGCATGTAGCAATCTTCAGTAGACTCTGTCAATCTCCTGTTCTCTAAAAAATTTAATAATAAAACACATTAAGAAATATTGAATGACAGCGCTCTTCTAAAGAAAAAGCCGGATACCTATAGTTGAATTCGAAATCTGAAATGGCATTTCTATGTAAGAACGCGATTCTGGCTTCACTATGAGGATGAGGCAGCAGCCGATGACAAAATCTTTCATGCCCGACTTCGGTGTTCAACGAACTACTACAGTGCCGGGGGGACACATTCGCTGTAAGAAATATCCTCTTGGCAAAAAACTGGGTCACGGAGATTGAATTTTGCCACCGTTCACGGAGTTACGACGTGCCAACCCACAATGCAGCTAATATTTATCCATGCGTGGGGGACCATCAAGTAATGCGTGCATTTATAACTGCTTGTAAGGAAGCTGTGATCAATGACACAGACGACGTGAGGGTAAAGCAACTTTGCGTTTCCCAATAGGCTCTAATTAGGATTGGCACTGGCATGATTATTTAAACGTCTGTGATTGATGAAGCCGCTCCAACTGACTTCAAGATACAGCAGCTCAGGATGGCGAAGGCGAGGTGTGAACGACTAGCAAGAGAGACAGTTGTTGATGCACATCACGGTCATTTTCGTTTTATAAAAAAAACAGGTAGAATGCAGTCTGAAATTGTCTTCAAATTTCATTCAAGACTGCGCTTGTAATTCTGCACACCACATCGGGAGAATTCTCGCCGGCTCTCTGGATACAACACATTGATTTGAAATGTCTCGCGCACATCTGGCGAGACATTATCAGTTTTTTTTTGCGGTCTATGAAACATCAATAGACTCGGTCTATTTCCTTTTCATCTTTGAAACCTGCCACGGTCATCAAAGAGCAGCTGTGTGCATAGGGCAAGCATTTGACCTGAATGATCAATTATGCATCAATCACCATGCCCACGTTCTACTTCACGCTAGGGGAAAATGATGCATAGCCAAGTACGAGCAGCCACGTAGAAGCCCTACCGATATCTTGAGCAGCGCCGCCCGCACTGCACTCCACTTGTCATTCCTTCTGTCAATGACCAAGACGAATCCCAAGTCTGCATCTTGCACTCTAGCAACAGAATATAATAATGCGTCATCATCTATAGCAGATATTACCGATAGAATAGATTAGTAGATTTCATCATTATTATCAGTTTTGTTTCCATCGGCTGCACAGGTAACAACACGTTTTCGCTAAATTCTTTGCGCACATCCATTTTGTAACCTACTGTATGAAATGTTACTTTAGTTATGGTATATGCAGGATACACACGTATGCAGAGACTCACACACGCGCGCAAGTTGTGATCTTGAATGCACCGCAATTATTTTTTTTACCATACCTGAGTGATCTGTCGTTTGCCAGCATACAACAAAAAGACAATGAAAGTCATTTTTTCTCTCAGTGTTTATATGCCACAGTAAACAGTGTGTATGCAGTATCACATATCCCACCCGCCCATTGACCAGAGACTTAACCCAGTACGATATGTACTCCAAATACGAGTGAGAACATGACTGACATTGATACATCTTTTGTAGACAGTATAGGAGCCGTACTTACGTGCAGACGCTGGTGAGATACGTCACTAACTTCTGGTAGTCTGCCTCAGAGATATTGCAGAAGTTCTGCACGTCCGGAAACGTAATGATCGGCGATCCATTGCGCGCTTTTCCACCTGGAAGGCGAGGCGATGAATTGTAAATTAATGACTTTTGCCTGATGAGCTTCCAAACTACCACCATGTTGGTTGCGAGGTACAGGTGTGGAGTTATCCACGTTTGTTTCCATTCTATTTATAGCTTTAAGTCTGATTATTATAGCAGACAGTCTGCATAATGTATAACCTGCATGTCGTTATGTGGAAACGTAATTATATATATAATATTTATAACATTTTAAAATTTAATGCAATTTTGTATTAACCATTTTATATCGAATACTTCTAGGAACACAGAATTAAATTTTTTTGTAATAAAAATATGCCTGCCTAAACGTAACATGTAGTGGCGAAGTTAATTAGTTCCTCTACTTTGTCCTAATGCTAAGCTTCATGATTTTGATATTCGACTATGCATAAAATTAGCCCAATGAGTTAGGCAGACACACTGATAATTATATAATAAATATTTGACATGATATATATATATAGTCGCATGAGTATAATCTTGATCTGCAGCAATATATATGCTTATATATGCTGTTATCTGATGGCATTTAAACCGCACAAACTTGCCATGATGAAAATATATTATGTTAATGTAAATGAAGGCATGTTATGAAATAATAATGAATTCTAATTCTCCAGGGAAAAAACGATTACATCGGGACAGTCTGCCCTTCTGCGGCAGCTAGCAATATAAATATCACGTCCTCCTGGAGTTCCTTCTCAAACGAGAGCAAACTAAGATGGAACTCTACAGTATAGTGATGAGGCAGAAAGAGTGTTGCTCGTTTCATTTGTGCATGAACACACACGTAGCCTCATATAAAAATGCGCATATGCTCATGGCAAATAAGATTCGCTCGTTTCATGTGTGATCAATAGCAGGAACACACATGTATATGCTCACATAAGAATAATTATGTTCATGCCAAATTATATTCGCGAAATACGATAAGGCACAAACAGCTCTGCTGCGCAGAGCCTCGTTTCTCTCTCTCTCTCTCTCTCTCTCTCTCTCTCCCCGCATACTAACAGTGTCTTGCTCCGAACCCTGGCGGAGACCGCGCGAACTACGTGTCCCGCCCACTGCCACTCGTCGAAGTCTTAATATTTGTACGCCGGATCACTGTTACGTTCTTGCCACCTACACCACGTTCTCTCGCCCACTCTAATCCATTAACCGCGCCAGCAGAGGTGGAGTAGGGGTAGGGGCATCATTACACGGGTCGGCAGGCTCTGCGCTTGCACAAAGGCGATTTGTTTCTTTAATTTCGCCTGAGCCGTTGAATCATCATCGCGGTGCTAGCGCTTCTCTACGATGATTGTCTCCGACGATGACATACTATCGGCGGGGCCACATCAAGCTTCTTTACGTCGATAGATGTGGAGCCACTATATCGGCGTTAAGCCTTTTTCTCTTCGCAGAAACTAATCCTACCGAAAAAATATTACACAAGAACGAGCGCGTTTCGCCGACTGATGTTTCAACATGGCGCTGCTGCCCGCGGATGGTTGAATTCCCATCATGGCGGGTTTGCGCTGTCAGCAGAGAATATCTTCCCTGTGCTGATAATCGCCACGGCCCAGAAGAAAGCATGGTGTTGCTGTGTCTGTGAAGGTGGCACTGATGTTTAACGAGATCCGTCCTTCTGAACTGCCGCAGCAGCAGACATTCCGAACCCAACACACGCTATCACCCGACGCGGGACAAAAAATGGCCGTCTTGTTTTCAAACACGCCAGTTTCCCGTCTAAAGCGATTAGCAAGCATCCGCCGGATTACTTCTTCACAGAGGAACTCGTATGACCGCCGCGGGGGGAGGGTGAGAGAGTAGACACAGGATGTGTTAACTCTGCTCTCGCACCACACAACCTCCAATTACTTAACAGCGATGCATTTGTCTTGGTGACGCTTGCACTAATTTCCCCCGTGTTTCAATTTACAGGCAACGTTGTGTGTTCGGTTGCTATAGGGTCTCAGTGGGAACCACATGTCACAGTTACGCACACGAGGAAACGCTATACATATATATACAGGAAAGAAGAGAATATAGAGGATAGAATATAGATCTCTATATTATACACTCCTATGAATGTGTGTGTGTAAGCTGCACGCAATGCCTGGCGTTTGTGAGTGTGTATTCAAGAGCATCTGTGGGTGACGCGCGCGAATGTGTGTGTGTGTGTGTGTGTGCGTGCGTGCGTGCGTGCGTGTGTGTATGTGGGTGTGTGCGTGTGGTGATGTAGTAATAAGCGTTGGAAATAAGAAAAAAAATGTGTGGAGTGGTTGTCCTCAACAAAATTTGGTTGTCCTGAATGTTAAATACTATTAACTTTGTGGGAGGGGTTCTATACAACTGCCTCTTGGTTCCCTCCTTTTTCCCTAAGATGAGGGCAAGCAATGGCAGATCACATGATTTGCTGGGTCATGTGACCAAGAAAAATATTCAAAAATTGCGGCCGTAAGCGGTGAACATGAAAATACTGGTTGTCCACAGCACAACCACCTGGAAGATGTTGGTTGTCCTGCATGATTTTTGGTTGTCCGGGACAACAGGATCACCACTATTTCCAACGCTGAGTATGCGTGGATGTCCCCCGTGCGTGACTGCACGACGATAGGTGAGGATCTAGGCGTACGCGTGCGTTGCGTGTTTATCTTTACTTATGCATGTCAGTTTACACGCCCGACAGCGCATTCCGTGAATAAATCGCAATCTGTCTAATGTAGAATGCTAACAACTACTGCTAACAGCACATCTAAGCCATGACGTTGGAATGGCTTCAAAACTGACGCCACGGTATGCAATTGGCATTACTAGCAGAGGGATCCTGCACAGGCCACAGCAACGCGATGGCGTGAGATGTTACACAGTCCGTGTAGCTACCGGCGCGTAGCTGTAAAACTGCATAAATTGATACTGACACTGTGGCAACCTCATCACTATTTCATCTTTACTCCGTACACGCCGTCACTACGCGACGGACGCCGCCACGCTGTGTTTTTGAATGAGTGCCGGCATCCGTGAAGCCATCTGACTAATGTAAGGGGTTCGTGAAACCCTGCCTATGACTCAGCTGTCGCCTCCCGGCCGCCTGTCCATCACTCTTTCATTTTTCACACTCTTCTCTTCGCTTTCTCTCTCTCTCTCTCTCTCTCTATTGCTGCCTGCCTGCCTTTCTGCCTGCCCTCTCCTCCTCTTCACCTGTCCGTATTTCACCACCTCCCTCTATGTGTCTTCTTCCCTCACTCCCTCTCCTCTCTCTCTCTCTCGCTCTCTCTCTCTCTCTCTCTCTCTCTCTCTTCTCTTCCCATTCTCCCGCGCGCGCCAAATCACCGCGGCGACCTCATTATTTGCTACGATTCCCGCCCGAATTCGTTGCGTGTCGCATCGCATGATCGTCACGAGGCGAGCAGACGACATTCAGTGCGGCTCCCGCGAGGCGTACTGATCAATACTAACGCGGTAATACAGAACGGCAGGGGCGACCGCCACGGAGGCACCCCATAGCGGAAAGGAGAGAGGAGCCACATATCAGGAAGGAGAGAGGAGCCCTATCGCAGGAAGGAGAGAGGAGCTCATAGTATCAATGGGTGAGGGACTCCCGAGCAAGAAAGCGAGGGCCTCATAGGAGGAAGAAAAGAGGCGCTCCCGAGCGGATAAGAGGGGCGTTCCATAGGACGGGGAAAAAGCTGGAGAAGGGCGCCCCTCAGCGGAAAGGAGAGAGGCGTCCCGTGGCAGGAGGGACTGAGGCGCCCTATAGAAGGAAGGAAACAACAACAACAACAACAACAATAATAATAATAATAACAACCACCATAACAACAACAGCAGCAGCAGCAATAATAACAACAACAACAACAACAACAACAACAACAACAACCGACAAACAACCGACAAACAACCACGAACAACAAAGGCGTAAGACAGTCACGCTGGTTTACGCTGCTAACGTAACCCCCTCCTCACCCCACCCCTGCAAGTGACACAGCCTCCCGCCTTACAGTTACAGTGCTACTCAGTGTCCCGCCCTGCGGCAAGTCCCCGTGTCTGGCCAACAGGATTCGCGCATGCGCCGTCGTCGCACGCGCGCACGCAGACGAACGCATGATGAGAACAAAAGCCGAATCTACTCATTACTTCTACTAACGAAACGAAACTCTGTCTGAGCACGGTAAAACACCCCCAAACACACCCGCTCCCGCATGACAAAACCACAACGAGGCTTATAGGATAGTAGATAAAACCCACTCGAAATTCGAAACGTGTGCGCACGCGTCCTTGTTGTAGTTGGGAATCTGCAGAGACCAGACAAAACTACGTTGAGTGCAAACGAGTTTCCACTAGTTTGGAATCTACGGGAAGGATGAAAACAACTTGGAGCTCAAACGTTGTACTCCCCACTGTAGTTTAGAATCTACAAACAGGAGACGAAAATTGTAATTCGTCCGTCCTATAGTTTATAATCTACGAAGAGCGAAACTACCCAGAATTTAAACGTGTCCCAGCTGTAATATAGAATTTGAAATATTAATCAGTGGCGAATCGAGGAGCGGGGTGAAAAATAGGCGGGGGGAAATTTTTGAAAATGTAGATAGCAGGAGATGGTGTTTGAGGCACTTTTGAGTACATGTACAGCCTTCATTCTGACTACGACAATTCTCTTTTTAGTAGAACAATTCTTGCGCTTGCAGCGCGGCATTGATTGATGTACGGGGGGGGGGCATTATTGAATATGTAGGGGGTGACCACCGCTGGGATGAGGGCGACAGCCAAAACTCTTTCTTGGAATTGTGAAAAAAGCTGCAAACGGGTTATAACCTGCTTTGCCACTCAATTACATAATTTAACCATTAATTTTATCATTAGTTCAACAGAAGGGGTGGCTAGCCACCCAATCCCCCCCTCCCCTGAATCCGCCACTGATTAATAATCTACAAAGGGGAAACAAAACCGCCTCGAATGCAAACGTGTCTCCACTATAGTTTAGAATCTATTGAAAGGAAACAAA